GCAGGCATGTTTAGTGCTTTCCTTCTGCAAATCAATTCGCTCATCTCTTCCAAGACATAGGCCTTCTGCCTTTCCTACTTGGCAAGGATTAATTCAGAACCTAGAAATGAGATGGTTGCCTTCCCAGCTGTTTACAAATCTTCTCACATAGCTGAATCATTGCAACAACACTACTAACCCAGCTCTTGCCCTTTCATTAGGAGAGGCTACAGCTAGGACATGCTGTGGCACTTTGCAAATCACTAGAGAGAGGAGATGAAGACAGAGACAATCAAGATTTCAACAACTGCTTAATTAGGGTTTGACCCACGTTCCCAGAGGACTGCACGCTTAATTGCATTTCCTATGGTTTCACTCCTGGACAATAGCCTTAGTGCAGCAGACAGCAGATTTCAAGTTGGCAAATTTCATACTATTTCCAAGGATACTCATTTCCTCAAGAACTACAGCTTGACACTATCAAATGTCTCCTTGAGCCATGATTTAAGCATTTAAATACAGTGAATTATGGCAGAGAACCATCCTCCACTTGATTTTTGTTTCTCTTTTCAATGGCCAATTACTGCAGTGTGTAAAGCACTATTGTACCTTCTCCGTTTATGGAATTTTTATTTTTGAATACTTCAAATACCTTTTGCAAAAAGGAAATTGCTCATGTGGAAAGTTACATATTCAAGGCCAGTTTTGAGAATAAATCCCCTTTTTGTGTTTGTAAGTGGTCATTTGCTAGTGCTGATGGATTCTCCCATTTGCCCTATGCTTTTGGAAATCATCTGAATTAAACCCTTTAGTCAAGCTAACAATCAAATGAGCGAGAAAGAGCACAGGCATCTGGAAAGCAGAAGTCTTTTTTATTGGTCATTTTTACTGTCTCTTCATTGAAACAAACAAATTGGAGAAGTGGAAAGATGTTTTTCTAAAGAACAGAGCATTAATCCAAAAAGCATTGAGCATCTGCTTAAGATTTTCATATTACTGTTCTTGCATTCCTTTTCTCTCACTACTGCTGCAGCCATTAAATGGTGTTTTCTTGACCTGATGCTTTTGAGAAGTGCCGTGGTAAGAAAGAACGATTTTCTTCACCTACCACATCAAAACATGCATTTTTATAAATTCTTTATTTTGAAAGAGAATGCTTCCATACTTTTCCCTTTKTGCTACTGGGGTTTCCATAACTGGCCTATATACGCCATCTTCTGGATAACTACAGAAAAAAATATCTATGCACAGAAAATCATGATCAGAAGCATTAATAATAATACATGCCTTAAAATAGTCTGCTAATTGCAAGTAACTTTATTTTTATTTTATAGAATTTAGCGCAACCCCAAAATTACTTACAAAATTTTATGAAGAAAGATCTTCGTAACTATCATTCAAGCAATATTGATATAGTAAGTGAAGTTATGTTTTGAAGCAAGCTAACTATTTCTATTTTGAAGATTTCTCATCCTTTGCAGAAAGAGTGAAATAAGAGGAGTGTGAAAGGGAGAAATGGTCCAAGGATAGTGCAACAGCTACTTGTCTCTGCTTTGCTCATCCCTCCCCTCGGCTCCCCACTTTTGCCCAGTCACCAGCTTTCCCATCTAAATGCAATTATAGGTTAAGCTGGAAAGGCACATTTGAATGGCGTAATTCATTATTTTCGTTCTTCAGCACCAGCATACCCTAAGAAGTAAAGAAAAAGCCCATTTTCAGTTTCTTTAAAGGTGCTAATGGTTTTTGGACTGAGTTGAAAAACGTTGCCACTAGCACAATTGCTACAAAGTCTGTTCACTGCTTGCAAACCTTGAGAAAAGTCCCCAGCTTGGACTTTTTTTTTTTTTTAAGCACTAACCCAACACTCTGCTGCTAAGCGTTTAATTAGTAGGACTGTGAAGTATACGACAACACCTAAGGCGTTAATAGAAGGAAAKAATTATAGCCCACTCTGCATGTGGTTTACCCTTCACTTAAGAAAATCTGTCATGTATTTGTACTTTAGATGACTCCTTGTAATAACTTTATCTGGAGAAACAACTCCTGCAGTAGGGATGAAGTGACCCTAAAAACTGGCACATAAAGATCTGATTAAAACTTCCTCTCCTTTGGTGGCAGCCTGAAAATCCTCRGGGATCTGCCATTGCTCAGGCAAGGAGAGGAAATACAGCAGAGAGGGAAAATGCTTCCTTATAGAGACAGGAGGATTTCATTACTAATGTGCCAACACTCTCTCCAGGTCCATCCTATGGTCAGTCTCTTTGGTTTCCCTTTAAAATTCAGAGGCAGGAGTTGGTTCTAGCATGATTAATTTCTCCTTTACTGATTGTGCACCATTTACTTTTAAGTAAGATTTTATAGAAGAGGCAAAACAAAGGCAGAGATGAAGACAGCACGGAGATAAACATTTGTGCAGCAGGGACTCCCACTGACTTGGGCACAGTGGGGGCCAGCAGTAATGGGGATTTCGCAGGGATGGTGATGGGACCTCTCACTGCGAACAGGTAATTGAAACACTATAGCCCATCACCAGCGTTTACAAAACGGCAAGCCATGAAGGTACTGCACTTAAGGCAGACCCTGAGCAAACCAGAGGGTTCACAGACTTGCTCTGCCACTATGCATGAGCAAAACATAAGCTTTGGCCGTCAGTAGTATGTATTTATTTAATTTCAATTCTTGTGGCATGCTCAGGAAGGATGAAGGCTCCGGCCTGCCCTTCCCAGGCCACTGCAGGGCCTCCCAGTGCTGAGTTGTACCAAGCTGTGGTTGCTGGGCAACTGGAATCTGCCTGGCAACTGGACATGTCAGCACCCAGCTGGGCTGGTGCTGGCCAATGGCAGGAGGGCTGCCACGCACAAGGCACATGGTGCTCCTAGCGCCATTTTGTGCACTGAGTGACCAGGCAAGGTCACTCTTGCCTGGTGGCTGCAGCTTTCTCATCCACCCAACCGGTKGAGAACAGCCCCGCCAACCAACACGGGCTTCAGCCAACCCTCTTGGAAATGGGCATGCAGGACGAAAGTGACTTTTTTTCAATATAAAGCACAGCTCTGGTGTCCACCTTAGTGCTCTCCCCTGAGGAATGGTGATTTCTGTGCAGTTACTTGTGAGCACAATTCATTAGATGCCTGCACAATTCATTAGATGCCTGCCCGGCTTTGTGAGCCCACCAGGCACAAGCAGAGTGGCCTTGAGGAGAAACATGGCAAGCTGTCCTCGCTGGAGAGCCTGTCCGTGGGCCAGGTACACTCATCTCCCTTTTTGTGGACAGAAAAGGCTGTGTGACAGGCCAGGAGCTCCTGTCAACACTTACGTGAACATCTAGAAACTCACTCAGGGCCTGGCAATCAGGTGGTTGGCAGCCACCCTCAGTGGAGACTGGATAGCTACAAGTGGTTTTGTGTGGACAAAGACTGGGACAAGACTGTGTGGACAAAGTCACAGTGTCCTGTCTGACACGAGTGAATGTGCTGCCGTGGACACCATCTGCAGATGTGTCTCAGATGTATCCCTCAGCCACACAAGATGAGGAACCATTTGTTGACTAGCTTCCTGCAGCAGTGACTCTAAAGGTATGGCTGACATAAATGTAGATGAGCTGTGCTCTGATTCATGTCTCATTTTCACTACTT